CAAGAAAGTCCAGTTGCCTCTTGAAAAAAAAAGCACCTTTGGGGCAAAGAGCAAATTCTACTAAGGAAAAAAGGAAAAAAATGTTGGTCATCTTTCCTGATTATTTGCCCGAAGGGGAACATCCAGCACACCTCCATGGGTTTTAGGATGGAAGAGATTGCAGTCAATCTCTGTGCTGCTTTATTGTATAAATTCCCCACCTCAGACTGCAGACTGATCCCTACTGGGTGTCAGAGGAGAACCATAAGGCTGAATATATTACAGTATATATTACTGAATATACATACAGTGCATTACAGTAATCTAATGAGCTAACAAGGATATGGATTGCTTTGCCTAAGAAAACCTCTCCAGCCTTCCAAAAATATAGCAGTTTGAGGCCAAACAACACAAAATCATAAATGGATCTGTTGGAAGAAATGTCCTTTTGGGTTCAGCTCCAAGTGGGGAAAAAGACACTGGAAACATGGAGGCTGCTTGGAAAGATGGTTTAATGATGGACAGGACTACATAGTTTGAAGTCCTGAACAGAAAAGGGGGATCACATGCTTCCAGATGTTGGGTGAAGAAGAAAAGAGAGACAAAAAAGGGACTGGGTTTTTTATGCTCTGGCCCCACCTCTCTGTTTCTTGTTCCTGTATAAGAAATGTATTCTGATTGGTTGTTAGACTCCCATGGAGCCATGCAGGGGCAAATCTCTAGACTGTATTTTGAGTCCAAGTGTGGTTGAGTTCACAGATGCCATGTGGTGATTTGGGTAAAGGGCTAATACTATCATGCCTTAATCCCATCACCTTGGAGCTGAAGGGGATGGATTTTTGTTATGTAGAATAGACTGGCCCAGACTTTTTAATGGCCCATTAACAAAGGTGAGGGCTATTAATAGTGAGTCTCTTTTCTGCCTTAAAACATGTTTCCCCATTTCTTATCCAGGGAAATTTAATATTCTGCCTTTTCAATATTTCCCAGGATACTTCATTTTTCTAGGAGAGGGGTAGGTGCTAACGTCCTACAGATCAGAGTGTTTGACAAATGCAGAAATGACAACTTAAGGATCAGTTCCTAGAACCAGGAATTTGATCCCCCGAATTTGCTCTGGGTGTGCTGAATAAATAAAATCAATAGAATACATTATAATTCTTTATTGGCCAAATGTAATTGGACACACAAGGAATTTTTCTTTGGTGAATATGCTCTCAGTGTATATAAAAAGACAAGATACATTCATCAAGTATCATAAGGTACAACACTTGAAAGTCATAGGCAATAAGCAATCAGGAAACAAACAATATCAATATAAATCATAAGGATACAAGCAACACAGTCCTGCAGTCATAAGTAGAAGGAGATGGGCGATAGGAATGATGAGAAGACTAATAATAATAGTAATGCAGGCTTAGTGAATAGTTTGATAGTGTTGAGAGAATTATTTGTTTAGTAGAGTGATGGCGTTTGGGGAAAATACTGTTCTTGGTGTGCAATGCTCTACAGCATCATTTTGAGGGTAAGAGTTGAAAGAATTTATGTCCAGGATGCGAGGGGTCTATAAATACTTTCATGGCCCTTTTTTTTATTCGTGCAGCATACAGGTCCTCAGTGGAAGGCAGGTTGGTAGTAATTGTTTTTTCTGCAGTCTGAACGTTAATAATAACAAAGGACAATATGGGTTATTGGGAAGGGGAATTTTTGGGTAAGTGGCGCTGCTTTCATTTAGATAAACAAGATCACCAGTGTGATTTTTACCTTCTTCCCTATTCAGGGTGGAAACCTCAACTTGTGTTCTGTTCCTTGTGCAGTTCAGTAAACTTGGCTCCAGCAGATTGTGTGGTCTCCATTCAAAATTTGGGTTGGGAGAAAGACGTAAAGCACATACTGGGCCTCTCTGCTGTCTAGTTCAATTGGTTATCTACTATTGAGACAAACACAAGTTTTCTCCACTGGTCTAAATCCAAAATTAAAGGTCTCTAGATGATCCTTGGTTGTATTTGGTTGTTGAGACACATACTCCTTCCATGACTTCACTTAGCCCAATCTACATCCACATGACAAAAAATCTTTAATTTCACCACAGATAGGAACATATAACCATAGTTTCAATTGGGAAAATGTGCCCATCCTAGACCAGGCCAAGCCCAAAAATGCCAGGGAATTTCTAGAAGCCTGGCACTCTGACAAATCAGCCATCAATAGATACATAGACATTAAGAACATCTATAGACTATCCAAAAGAGGCAATCAATCAACCCAAAAGGAAACAAAAGACTCACCACCAGTAATCAGCACAGATTAACTCCAAGGTTAACTTCAGACCAATCATGTCTGTCTCCCCCCCCCCCTTTCAATTGTGAGCCGCCCTGAGTCCCCTCAGGGAAAAGGGCGGCATACAAATAAAGTATAAATGAAAAAATGAAATGAAGGTAAACAATAACCCTATTTGAAACTGCAAACAGCCATCAGTAAACAGCACAACCAAAGACCGCCCTCACCCATACAGACAGGCAAAACCACCAGAATATAAACTGGCAACAAACAGCACTCCTGACTAGCACAAATGAAATTACCTCGTTTGGGTCATGAAATGTCTGAGAAAATAAGCAAACTCAGAGAGCACCAAGGACCCCTAATTTCAATCCTGATCTACAAATAGTCTCCTTTATTGGTCCAATCCATAATCCCTGGCTTCCATTACCTCCCAGCTTTTACACAACCTCATCAGTCTGAGTGTTTGTATAACAAACAGGTCCTCTGCTTGCTTTCTCACTCTCAGAAACCAGAGCAACATCGATGGTATCTTCTGGAACAACTATAGTCTTTTGTGGAGCAATAGCAACGTTTGTACTTGTACTTCCAAGGAAGGTAGGAAAAATCTTCAAACTGCAAATATCATTCAATATGATCCAGCCTTGTCCTAAATAGGTGGGGGAGGGGGCTGTCTACACGAGCAGCTTCCTTGTATTGTGATAGGAAGTCACATATGCTGCATGCATACAGGTAATTATTTCAAGAGAAACCATGTTACAATGCAAAGTCACCCTGTTCTCCATTGGATGCTGAATGGAATGTACCTGATAATATACCATATTTTTTGGAGTTTAAGATGCACCATTTTTCCCCCCAAAAAAGAGAGTGAAAATCTGGATGCATCTTATACAGTGAATACAGTATTTTTGGCCTCCCGAAACCCTGCCCCCTTAACAAAAATGAATGTACAGAAGATTTGGGAGATCTACAAAGTGCTCCTGGGGGCTGGGGAGGGCAAAAATGAACGAAAAACAGGCCGTTTGCTTGTGCCCCCCCCCCAGCTCTCAGGAGCACTCTACAAGCCTCCCAAAGCCTATGCATGCCCTGTTTTTTTTTTTTTTNTTTTCTTCAATGCTTCTTTTTCCTGAGTTAACTTAAGATGAATGAACATACCCACAGACTGGAAATCATTCCCCCCCCCCCAAAAAAAAAAAAAATCAAAGGAGATCTTACTCATGAAAAGAAGACTAAAGCTCAGGTTCAGGTCTCTCAGCACTTCTTCTTTCTCAGATTAAAATTAAACCAAAATGTTCCTCCATGATGATATATTACCCATTCAGTCATGTAGAACTCTTGCTGATTCTATGTATGTGTCTTCACATCTTCCAATCTTGCACTACTTCTTTGAGTAGCTGGTGTCAGTCAACATTTTCTTTGGTGGCCTGATTTCCTTTTACCACTAACTCTTCCAAATATAATTCTTTTCTCCAGTGGACTGCTCCAGGTGACATGGAAAAATAAGTGAGACAGTTTTGTGATTTTGCCTTTCAGTGACCTGTCTGGTATAATGTGCTCCAATATTGGTTGTTAGGCATGTTATCTGTCCAGGAATATACAATAGCCTTCTCTAGCACCACAGCTCAATTTTCTTCCTGTTTTGCTTTTATAAGATCCAACTTTCACAATCATAGGTAACTACGGGGAACATAATAGAATGGACTAACCTACATATGGTTGCCAGGTAGATATCCTTGTTTTTACATATTTGACTCATGTTCATCATTGCTGTGCAACCCAGTGCAATCCGAAGTTTTATTTCTGGGCTGCATTCACTACTTTGAGCATTATGTGATCTTAGGTAAGGCAAAGGTTTCCATTGCACATACATGCTAGTTGTTCCTGACTCTAGGGGGCGGTGCTCATCTCTGTTTCAAAGCCAAAGAGCCAATGCAGTCCGAAGACGTCTCCATGGTCCTGTGACTGGCATGACTAAACGCTGAAGGTGCACGGAACGCTGTTACCTTCCCACCAAGGTGGTCCCTATTTTTCTACTTGCCTTTTCACATGCTTTCAAATTGCTAGGTTGGTAGAAGCTGTGACAAGTAACAGGAGCTCACTCACAAATGGTGCTTGATCCCTTTCACACCTCAGTTTGTATCAGCTTTCTTTTTTTTCTGTTCCAAACAGGTGATGAAAGGCAAATGGAGGTTTCTGGACAAGAGGTAGCAGCACCTTTCCCAAAAGGCGTAAAGGAAGTTGTGGAGAAGATGTTTGGAAAGAAAGATTCTAAGGAAAATCAGTTAAAAGTGGGGCTGGAGAAATGCTCTCCTTTTCAGTGTGCCGATATCAGTGTCTTGGCTGAAGATGATCACCAAGAAAAAGGAGTGTGTCCATTGTGTGGAAAAATTCTCAGAGATGAATTGGAATTATGTGACTGTTCCAGTAGCCACACTGTAGAAAAACAAAACAAAATCAGGAAACGCTTCAGAAGGACTAATCATCTTATCTTAAGTCAGGGCATAAAAGTTGGAGAAAAACCATATAAATGCCTGGAATGTGGAAAGAGCTTCAGAGACTCAAGTTATCTTACTTCCCATAGCAGGATCCACACAGGAGAAAAACCATACGAATGCAAGGAATGTGGAAAAAGATTCCATTTCGCCACAAGCCTCACTTCCCATAATAGGATTCACACAGGTGAGAAACCATACAAATGCCAAGACTGTGGAAAACGCTTCACTATCTCAGGTTCCCTCATTTACCATAAGAGGATCCACACTGGAGAGAAACCATATAAATGCCAGGAATGTGGAAAATGCTTCACTATGTCAGGTTCCCTCACTTCTCATAAAAGAATCCATACTGGAGAAAAGCCATATCAATGCCAGGAATGTGGGAAGAGTTTCAGATCTTCAGGTTTTCTTACTTCTCATAGAAGGTTCCACACCGAGGAGAAACCATATAAATGTACAGAGTGTGGAAAGTGCTTCAGCCAACACAGAAATCTGATTTCTCATGAAAGGATCCACACAGGAGAGAAGCCATATAGATGTACAGAGTGTGGAAAGTGCTTCACCAATTCAGGTTCCCTCACTTGCCATAAAAGAATCCACACTGGTGAGAAACCATATCATTGCAAGGACTGTGGAAAGAACTTCAGACAAAAATATCATTATACTGTACATAACAGAATCCACACTGGGGAGAAACCATATAAATGTCCGGATTGTGAAAAGAGTTTCCGTTCTGCAAAACATCTTATTTCCCATAAAAGAATCCACACAGGGGAGAAACCATATAAATGCGAGGAGTGTGGAAAGAGCTTCAACGATTCCCAAGACCTTATTGCTCATAACAGGATCCACACAGGAGAGAAACCATATAAGTGTGTGGAGTGTGAAAAGAGCTTCCGCTCTGCAAAACACCTTACTTATCACAAAAGGATCCACACAGGAGTTAAACCACATAAGTGTATGGAGTGTGGAAAGAGCTTCCGTTCGGTAAAACACCTAACTTACCATACAAGGATCCACACGGGGGAGAAACCATATAAATGCCAGGAGTGTGAAAAATGCTTCACTATGCCAGGGTCCCTCACTTCCCATAAAAGGATTCATAGCGGGGAAAAACCATATAAATGCCAGGATTGTGGGAAGTGTTTCATAGGTTCAGGTTTTCTGACTTCCCATAAAAGGTTCCACAGCAAGGAGAAACCATATAAATGCACAGAGTGTGGAAAGTGCTTCACCTATTCAGGTTCTCTCACTTCCCATAAAAGAATCCACACTGGGGAGAAACCATACGAGTGCAGGGAATGTGGAAAGAATTTCAGTCAAAAGTATAATTATACTGTACATAACAGAATCCACACGGGGGAAAAACCATATCAATGCACAGAGTGCGGAAAGAGCTTCCGCAAGAGTATCAATCTTACTTCCCATAAAAGGTTACACACCGGGGAGAAACCATATAAATGTATGGAGTGCGGAAAAGGTTTCATAAGCAGCAGTACGCTTAGTCACCACAGGAGGATCCACACAGGGGAGAAATCATACAAATGCGATGAATGTGGAAAATGCTTCTCTAATTCAAGTTCCCTTATTTCCCACAAAAGGATCCACACAGGGGAAAAACGATACAAATGCCCTGAGTGTGGGAAATGCTTCACTAATTCAAGTTCCCTGACTTCCCATAAAAGAATCCACACGGGGGAGAAACCATATAAGTGCATGGAGTGCGAAAAGAGTTTCACAACCAGCAGTCACCTCAGTCGTCACAAGAGGATCCACACAGGGGAGAAACCATACAAATGCACTGAGTGTGGAAAATGCTTCAGACAAATTAGTGCACTTAATACCCATAGAAAGGTTCACTCAGGCGAGAAATCAGGTAAGTGTGTAGACCGTGGAAAGAGTTTCCGTAATAGCAGAAACTTCATATGACCCTATTGTATAACCATAGAAATGTACGGAATGTGGAAATAGCCCCAGTCAACTTTTGATTGTTTACGCAGAGAGAAACCATTTAAGTGTGCTAATTGTGGAAAGAGTTTCTACGGGAACAGAATTGTTCTTTCGCAGAAATGCATCTATACCGGAGAGAATTCATATAAAATGCCCGGAACATGGAAAGAGGTTCAGAACAATCAGTTGCCACAAGATAATCCACATTGGTGAGAAATTATAAATGTATGATGTGTGGAAAAGGATTTGTTGTCCCAACAGTGCTTTTTCAAGAGGCAACTGGACTTTGTTGTTTTTGTTTGAAGACTTTTCTCTTCCAAGAAGCTTCTTCAGAGCTTCTTGGATGAGAAGCAAAAAGCCTACAAATAAAGAAAAATAAGAAAGTCCAGTTGCCTCTTAAAAAAAGGCACCTTTGGGACAACCATGACCTAGATGACTGAGAATTTCCATAGACAAAGGAATTTGCTCAATCTCCATCCTCTTATGGGCATAGGAAAATTAATTCATGAGAAACCGATAAAACAAAAGTAATAGAACTACCTAAATGAATTGTGTGACAAAATTTTTTGAAGACAATATAGGTAGTCTGCAATTATCGCAATTGGGACTATCAACTCCAGCACTGAACAACACTGTCACCAAGCGAAGTATCATGTCTGTGCTGGACTGATGTCAGTCATTCCACTGTTGTGGTTAAGTAAATAAAGGTGGGTTAAGCATGACATCACATGATCATTGACTTTCAATTTACTACCAGCTTCCCATTGACTTTGCTTCTCAGAAGCTGGCTGTAAAGCTGACTGCACTTGATCACAAGAATGATGCAACAGCCCTACGTTCAAGAATTGGTTGTAAATGTACCTTTTCAGTATTGTCATTATCCTTGGGCAGTTGCTGAACAAAGCACTTAGCAAGAGAGAACAATTTGCATAACACTCATGCTATCCCTGTTGTACAGACTGCTCAGTACAAGGGCTGTTGGTGTTGTAACGTGTTTCCCCGAAAATAAGACAGGGTCTTATTTTCTTTTGCCTCCCGAAATAAGCACTTGGCCTTATTGCCGGGAGGTCTTATCATTCTTGAGGTGGAGGAGGCAGTGAGTGTGGTCATCTCATGGCTGCTGTTTTGTTGCAATATTTTCAGGGAGGGCTTATTTTTTGGGAGGGCTTATTTTAGCACATGTGCTCAAAAGCCTGATTGGGCTTATTATCCGGGGAGGTCTTATTTTTGGGAAAATGGTATTTAATCTTTCTCGCTGTTTTGGGATGAAGAAAACACCCTGGTTGGTTCCAAAGCAACCTTGGTATTGCTGTCACCATGTAACATACTGAATAAAGATGTATCTTTTGATTTCTCTTTCTTTCTTTCAAAGACTAGTCTCCAATAATTGTCATAAGTGTCAGCCTCCTAACTTTCATTCTCTCTCTCTAAATGCACTTTTAACACATGCGGAGATGCAGGTAAGGAATATCGCAGTTACAAAGAAGATGAAAGCTTTTATTCCATAGGTTCCAAATAAAATTTTCCATGTAATTATGGAGCCATGGTTGAAGTCCAGCCCCATAACGATGCCATTCAAAGCACAGATTCTCTGACTGAGAAGAATAAACCATTATTGATTTGTCCAAGGTAAGTTGTGACGCAGTGGCTCAGTAGCTAAGATGCTGAGCTTGTCGATGAAAACGTTGGCAGTTTGGCGGTTCGAATCCCTAGTGCTGCCTAACAGGGTGAGCTCCCTTTACTTGTCCCAGTTTCTGCCAAACTAGCAGTTTGAAAGCAAGTAGAAAAATAGGGACCACCTTTGGTGGGGAGGTAACAGTGTTCCATGCATTTTTGGTGTTTAGTCATGCTGGCCACATGACCACAGAGACATCTTTGGACAGTGCTGGCTCTTTGCCTTTGAAATGGAGATGAGCACTGCCCCCTAGAGGGGGTACAACTAGCACATACGTATGTGCGAGGGGAACTTTTTCCTTTACCTTGTTTTCCCTAATTAGAAAAGTAGCTTGTGATGACAGATGACTGAATGTAGTATCTCAGAAGTTCCAGTTTTGGTTTATTGCGGCCAGTGGTGGGTTTCCATTTTTTTTTTACTACCGGTTTGCTCATGCAGGCGGGCATGTGCACCACTTCTGCGCATGCACAGAAGTGGGTGGGCAGATCCTCCCGCTGCCACCACTATCAGTTTGCCTGATCCTTGGCAAACTGGGAGCAACCCACCTTTGGTTGCGGCCCCCATAAACATCCTTTTATTTATAATCTACAGAGAAATTTAATAAGGCCTCCAGGAAAGGAAACAATTCATGAAGGATTGGTTGGATGCATAACAAAAATGTGTATTTCAAGATAAAAGTCATAAAGAATTTAAAATTATCCAAGTAGTGAGAAGTATCTAATAAAGAGCTTCATGCTCCTAAATCTCCAAGAAGTTAGTCTTCGGATTTGTCTATCAGAAAGCTTCATCTAGTCAGGTAGAGATGTGTTCCCTCTAATGGAGCAGAGTCCTCGGAAGTTAATTCTATTTGCTTCTGAGAGTTTTATATGATGTTTATATGCTGCCACAGTGCACAAGCATTCGTAATGTATGATTAAAACCAGATAGTCTTGATACCCTTTCCTCAAGAATAGTTTGTTAAAGGGGACTGGAGGTTAAAATATATGAAGAACAGTTGCAGGAACTGGGTATGTCTCGTTCAATGAAAAGGACTAGTGGTGACATGATAGCAGGGTTCCGATATCTCAGGGGTTGCCACAAAGAAGAGGGTGTCAAGCTATTCTACAAAGCATTGGAAGGCAGGATAAGAAGCAATGGATGGAAACTAACCAAGGAGTGAAGCAACCTAGAACTAAAAAGAAATTTCCTGAGAGAACAATAAGTGAAACAACTTGCCTTCAAAAATTGTGGGTGCTCCATCACTGGAGGCTTTCAAAGAGAACCTTTGTCTGAAGTGGTATAGGGTTTCCTGCCTAAACCGGGTTGGATTAGAAGACCTCCAAGGTCCCTTCCAACTCTTCCTCTTCTCTTTAAACCTTAGCCTTTCAAACTCTATACACACACTCCTAGTTTAGTGAAGAAAAGTGAAGGACTAGGGGAGACATGATAGCAGTGTTCCAATATTTGAGGCACTGCCACAGAGGAGGGGGGTCAAGCTATTTTCCAAGGCACCAGAAGGCCAGACAAGGAACAATGGATGGAAACTGATCAAGGAGAGATTCAACCTGGAAATAAGGATACATTTTTTGACAGGAGAGCAATCAGCCCATGGAACAGATGTTGCCTTCAGAAGTGGTGGGCGCTTCATCACTAGAGCCTTTCAAGAAGAGACTGGATTGCCATGTGTCACAAATGGTATAGGGTCTCTTGCATGAGCAGAGGATTGAACCTGCAAGGTACCTTCCGACTCTGTTGTTCTGTTATTGTTCCTCCTAGATGATCACCTTGGGCGTCCTCTTCCCTTATCTTTCCAGGATTAGAAGCAGAATCTGCCTCGGGGCATCTTCTCGACAACAACCTCTTGCTTTCTCAGGTCAACGGGATTTTTTTAAAAAAAACCTGCAAGGGAAAGACCGGAGGTGCCCGAGGGGGCTCGCCCGGGAAAACCATTCTGTGCCCAACCAACTGTAAAACCCTAGCAGAGGTCCTTCCGGGGAAGGAGGTGCATGCGCGCAATTGCAGCTGCGCGCCTAGGCTGGATAAAAGCGTTGCCGGCGGTGCTGTGAGGAAGGCGGATCGTGGAAGCTGCTCTGCGCGCTTTTTTTCCCGTTTTTCTTTTATTTTTTGAGAACGGAGTCCGGACGAGGGTCAGAGCCTCTTCCCCGCGGGTGCCGGACGAGAAATTCTTTCCTTCCCTTCTGCCAGTCCTGGGCACTTCTTGGAAACATAAACCTTAAATCGCTCATCCGATTGTTTCCACGACCATCACTTTCTCCTCGTGCGGATTATTTTGCTGGCCCTTGCTGGTCGTTTCCCGTGACCGTTTGTGTTTGTTTCTTTTGTTTGTTTCTCTCTTTCTCTCCNAGTAGACTTATATACCGCTTCATAGGGCTTTCAGCCCTCTCTAAGCGGTTTACAGAGAGTCAGCATATTGCCCCCAACAATCTGGGTCCTCAACCTGGGCAAATGCCCCCCTGGTCACAGCTGACAAGTGATGTTCAAAAGTCAGCTGTGGGTCCAGGAGGACTCCCAAATTGCTAGAGAATTGGGTTTTCTGAGGCACTGAGTTCTCAAGAGATGGGATCTTCCATCAAGGTGACTCTTGCCCCGCATTTTCTCCAAAACTTCTTTTGTAAATTTTGTTTGTAAATGCGAGGACGACCAAGGATGAACAAACACCCATGAGAACCAGGTTTTTTTTTTCCAAGGCAGCACTTCCTCATGGAGTGGAGGCTGATGTTCAGTTCCCAGGTCCAGGTCCGTCACTGATCCACCTTTATCAAGTCAATTTTCCCACCTAGGCGAAGTTTCCCTCTATTTATAACACTTATATACCATGCTCATCTTTCAATCAACTCTCCTGCTTCCTTGAAACTGAATCTGAAGGAGCAGCCGAGCTGATGGTGCCCACCCTGAAACTCAAAATGAGCTGATCTGAAGGATTGAAGTTTGCATTCTGCATTATGGAGGGCAAGAGGGCAGCCTACGGCAAATCTTAACATCATTGTATACCAAGCCTAGCCCCATGTTTTGAACACATTCTGACGGAAGAAGAAAGAAGGTTCACAAAAAGGGTTAAAAGAAAAAAAGAACTGGAGGGAGATGGGCAGAGTTTTGATAATATTGAAGTAAGAGATGCAACAATTGGTGCTAAATCATCGGTGTCAACTTTTCTGTTTCTCTTCCAAGCAGCTGATGAATGGGAAACAGGAGGTTCTAGCCAAGAAGAAACATCTTTGTCGACAGCTAGAAATGAAGTTGCAGAAAGGATGTTTGGAAAACAAAGCCTTAAGGAAGACCAGTTAAAAGGAGGACTGTTGAAATGTTCTCCTTTTGAATATGCAGATGCCAGTGTCTTCTTGACTGAAGATGATATCCAAGAAAAAGAAATTTGTATAGGATGTGGAAAAATACTCCCAGATGAACTGGGGTTATTTGACTGTTGCAAAAGCCACATTTTAGACCAAGAAAAGGAGAGCAGGTAAACACTCCAGGACCTTTCCTCCTACCTTAAATCAGAGAGTACAAATTGAAGAAAAACTATATACTGTATTTTTCACTCCATAAGACACACTTTCTCGTTTCCTCCAAAAAGTGGGTGGAATGTCTGTGAGTCTTATGGAGCAAATATTGTGTCACAGGCCATGTGTTCCTGACACTACATGGTAATACATGTAGTGTATTACCTCAGGGGTCCGCAATGATCGACCGGTGCCAGTCCTTTAGTGAATAGCAGTCAGGCTGTGGCGACGGGGTCCTTTTGCAGCAGTGGTGTTAATCTCGATTTCATTGAGGGCTTTATCAGAGTATTCTTTGACCTCAGGGGGACAGGCAAGGTCAGGGTGGGTGTGGCCAATTCAACATCACTCATTGAGGTTCCATTTTTGACTGCAATGGCCTCTTGCAGCCCTCTACCAGTGAAAACGGAGCCCAGGAGGGCCACTCATAGCCCTCCTGAGCTCCATCTTCACTGGCAGAGGGCTGCTGGAGGCTGTTGTGGCCGAAAATGGGAGGACTTTGCGCGGTCCTCCTAAGCTCCGTCTTCGCTGGCAGAGGCACCGTGGGCCGGTCCTTCGCTGTTTCCAGGGTGGGCCCACGGCCCAGATCTAAGCACCCTGCGGGCCAGATCCTGCCCTTGAGCCTTGAGTTTAACAACCCTGCTTTACAGTGCCGAACTCTCCCTCTTCTGTCTCTTTTCCGCACTGCAAAAGTCAATAGGCAGAGATAGCACATGAGAGGACACCTATTTGTGATCCTCTCAGGCTCCGCCTCCTGTCCTTACTACAATGCTGCCCCATATTCGGCGCTCCATATTCACAATACTCCGATGGGGACACCTAATGTAAAGGAGCATTCTGATGGGGATGTTGATGTAAGGGGGGGCAGTGCGGAAACAAAATACAGTCGTATGAATAATGCCTAAAAAGTGTCTTCTAATAAAGTGCCCTCTTTATAAACTGTCCCCTATAAAGGTAAAACCTTAAACGTGTCCTCCCATAATAGTGCATCAGCTGCAGATCAACCCAAATAACAGTATGTCCGCAACAGATCCCTTATAATAGTCTGTCATTCCTTGATGTTCTCAGCTACATAACAATAAAGGGCACATTACTGACAGTTCTTTCATTACTGTATTTTCTTGCAGAAGAAAGAGCCTCATGCTACATACAGGGATGCCAAAGCAGAAAAGACAAGCATATAAAATTCCCTTTAAACTGGAAGTAGTAAAATATGCTGAGGAACATGGAAACAGAGCAGCGGCGAGACATTTTGGGCCACCTCCAACTGAAAAAATGATAAGAGAGTGGAGGAAACAGGTGGATCAGCTGCAAAAAGTAAAAGATAAAAGTAAGCACAATTTTCGTGGACTTTCTGCAAAGTGGCCACAGTTAGAGGCGTACATGAAAGAATGGATCATATGTCACTGGAATAATGGCTTTGCAGTTTCTACAAAAATGATAATAT